CCTGATACAAAAGGAACTGAGGACAAGTGTCCTACAGGGCTGGAGCTTGGTGTATGAAGACAAAAGAGCAACGTCAATAGTGGCCCTAGATTGTAATAGTAGAACCATAACCACCACAACTACGGCAGCGACACGTGCAAGGTGCTTCCTGTGTGACAGGTAGCTTTCTTGGGTCTCTATGTGTGTGAGCATTTTTCAGATACATTTTTTTAACTTATAAATCAAAATACTTAAGCAGGATTTCATTTTAAAAAATCTAATAGAATTTCTGATTTTCAGGGACTTTATCAGCTTTTAAGAAACACAGTACTAAAAGAAATCATAAGCATGAAACCCAGCATCTCATGGACTTTACTGACCATACATACATACAATTTAATGCGAGACTAAGTAACTAATGGGCATTTTTTATTGTTTTTAAAAAGTTCTTATTTTTCTTATTTTTTAAATTGAAGTACAGTCAGTTACAATGTGTCAGTTCCTGGTGTACAGCACAATGTCCCAGTCATGCATATACGTATGTATATTCGTAAAGTCCAATTAACTGGGGTTGTTTGGCCTTTTTTGGTGGGTGAGGTAATTAGGTTTATTTATTTAGTTATAGGAGGTCCTCGGGATTGAACCCAGGACCTTGTGCATGTGCTCTACCACTTGAGCTATACCCTCCCCCTAAAGTTCTTATTTTTTATTGAAGTGTAGTCAGTTTACAATGTTAGTTTCAGGTGTACAGCAAAGTGATTCAGTTATACACATACACTCATATATATATATATATATATATAATATATATATATATAATATATATATAATATATATATTTCAGATTCTTTTCCATTACAGTTCATTACAAGAAATTGAATATAGTTCCCTGTGCTATACAGTTGGTCCTTGTTGTTTATCTGTTTTATATATAGTAATATGTATCTATTAATCCCAGACTCCTAATTTATACCCTCTTCCTCCCTGGTAATCACGTATCGAACATTTTAAAGTGAAAGATCTGGTATCCACAGTTTGAAAACTGTCAGATTTTTGAGACTGCATTCTCCAACATTAGTTTAAAATGACAGTAAATTTGATACTGTAGTAAGTTGAAGAAACAATTTATTATTAGGGATTTTAACATAAAGGTAGATCTGGAAATCTAGGCTGTGTTGAAGATAAATGAAATAACTCTAACAAGAAAGGAAATTTGTCAGTTTTGGTCATCATTCTACCTCCAGCACCTAACACCACGTCCAGCCTATGAAGTGTACACAAAATGTATTTGTTGACTAAAGAGAAAAGCACACATGCATGCATGCACACACCCTATATAATTATTCTCTTTCCAAAGAGCTTTAGCAAAGACCTTCAGCTGGCTTCTCCATTACTGTTAGCAGACCTAGACATGCTTCTGTATAGACTCGAAATGCCCCGTTCTTCCTCACCTAACAGAAATGTCACCTTCCACACTCCAGGCTGTCCAAAAGACTATCCCTAACTAGGAACTGGATTATTATCCATTGCTGAAACAATAATCAGGTCTAGGACTACAGTGCTGTTGTACTGCTTGCTTAACTCACATATTCTTAAAAAAACTTGTGAGTTAGCTATAGTAAGTGTCTGCATCTTATAAATGGGGAAACCGAAGCACGGAGAGTCTACATCCTTATTCTGCGACAGAGGCAGAATCTTTCTGGAACCAATCGATTGCAGAGACCCCCGCTTTCAGCCACTATCCTCCACTGTTTCAACAAATTTATTTGGGCATTTCCTCAATGCCAGGCCCTGGGGTCAGCCCTGGGGATATGGTCAGCTGGGAACAAGACCAACATGAGCCTCATGACTCTTAAAAGATGGGTGCTGCCTTCAGACTTCCTGGGAGAGGAACAGGCCAGGTTTCTCATCTGTTCACTGCCTGCCCTGTGCTTGACCATAACAGGAGGAGCAGAGACCAGAGTCCTGGGAGTCCGCTGGTCCCTGCAGTGGACTGATGTCACCTGTTGGTACTGAGAAGGGAGAAGGAGGGAGAGAAGGAAGGTGAGGGAGGAGGGAGGAGCCAGAGAAAAAGTTGGGAAGGATGATGAGAGATGAAGGGCGAGGACAAAGCAGGAAGATGAGGGGAGAGAATGATGAGGCAGAGGGGAGATGGAGAAATCTACGGGGGAGGAGGAAACCGAGAACTGTGGGGAATATGAGTGTAGGAAGGGAAGGAGGGAGGGGGGAAGAGAGATGATAAGTGCGTGAGGATAAGGGTGAGCAGAAGGAAAAGAAGGAGAAAGACGTAGAGATAAACAAAGCCAGACAGAAAGAAGGCAAGGGAAGGAAGAGACATGGACAGAAATTAAAGAAGGAAGGAAGGGAAGAGGGCGTGAGAGAGGAAAAAGAATCACCCAGTGATAGGATCTATAGTAAGAGACATGGGGGAAGCAGAGAAAGTAAAACCCAGGGATATACAGACATGCAAGGAAAACGTGGGGCATGGAAGCAGAGTGGAAAGGAGGGAGAAAGGGGGGAGGGAGAGAGAGAAAATGAATGGATCGTGAGAGAGCAAGAGGAAGTGTGGGCGGGGGAAGGAAAAGTCAACTCGAGAGATGGGAAGGAGAAGTGGAGTCGGGGAGGAGGAGAAGGGGGAAGCGCTGGGTGGGGGCTCTCACCCTTGTGCGGGTCAGGGAGCTCCTGGAGAAAGTCCCCCTCCTCCCAGCAAATGGACAGAGGCACCTCGTGACTTGTGTTGGGCGTCGGCAGACTCCTGAAGCACAGCCGTGGACCTCAGGGTTAATTGTGCTCAGTGCATGGAGTAGAATAGAGGACAGTGGAAGGAGACTTCAGAAACAGGAAGATGAGAGGAGGCTGGAGAAAGAAATGCAGAGAGAGGTGGAGAGGAGAGAAACAGGAGGAGGTAGCAGAGTGGGACTGGGTGTTGTATACACTACCCCTGGGCTAATGTCATGGGTCATGGTCATGGGTCATGATCCACTGGGGGAATGGGCTCTTGTGACCCCCACATACATACACATCCCTGCCGCGTGGTGAGAGAGAGGGAGTGGCAGAAGCCTGGAAGGAAGAGAGATGAAGACAGAAAGACAGAAATGGAGGGGAAATGGATAAGGGAGAATAATGGAAATAAAATAGGAGAGACAGACAGAGACAGAGAGGGAGAGAGAGAGAGAGAAATGAAGAGAGAACAGAATGAGATTTTACCAAATCTTCCAAGTAATTAATTATCCAATTCTTATACAAAATGTTACAGAAAATAGAAAAAGGGAGAAAGCTATCTAGCTTGCTTCAGGCATGGACAACTCTGACATGATGTCAGGTTGATGGGGGAGGGTACAGCTCAGTGGTAGAGTACATACTTAGCATGCAGAAGGTCCTGGGTTCGATCCCCAGTGCCTCCATTTGAATTAATAAATAAGTAAACCTAATTACCTCCCCCACCCCCTAAACAACAACAACAACAAAAGTGATAACAGGTTGAAAATAGTATAAGAAAAAATTATAGTGAATATTAAACAAAACTTCTAAATGAACTCTTAATGAAACAAATCCAGCATTCTATAAAAATATTTCTACAACATGAAACAAAGTTTATTCCAGGAATGCAAAGATAAGGTATTCAGTATAACTGGAATGTCATTGAGGGTAAGGTTTGAACCCCAACTTGAATGCTTAAATACTTACATTGACTTGGGCAAATTAGTTGACCTCTCTGTACCTCAGTGTTCTCATATAAAAGGTGACAATAACAAGAAAATAATTAATAATAACATAAAAACAATAAGAAAACTTACCTCGTAGGGTATTTGTGAGGATGGAATGTGCTCATTCATGGACAAGCTCTTGAAATATTGCCTAGGACATAGTTGGTGCTCAAAAAAGATTAGATGGGGGGAGGATAGTAACTCAGGGGTAGAGCACAAGGTCCTGGGTTCAATCTCCAGTACCTCCACTAAAAAAATAGATAAACAATTTTGTAATGTATGTCAGTGCAACTCACATTAACAGGTTGAAGAATGTATGGTAATTAAAAATAATCAATGGCAGAAAATCATTAGATATAACACAGCGTTTACTCACAGTCCAAATAAATATCTTAGTAATTTAGGGAAAGAGACAACTTTCCTTGACCCAATAAAGGCAATAATAAAGTCAGCAAACATCAAACAACAGAAAGCACTGGCTGAATCCCCATGAAGGTCAGGGGAAGGCAAGAACGGCTGCTCTCACTGCCAGTGTTCCACGCTGTACTTGAGTTCTTAGCCAATGCAATAAGACAAGAGAAGGAATGGAAGGAATAAGGGCTGAAAAGGCAGAGAGAGCGGAGACAAGAATAAAGTTGAGTGTAATGGTTAAAGGCATGGGCTTAGCAGCCAGGCATGGCTTGGTTTGTTTCTCGATTTGTTTTTTCTTCAGATTGACATGAACAAAAGACTTGTCTCGGAATGTACTGCCTTGTGTGCAAAGTTGGAATAACAATACCCCCTTTCCTGGCAACGAATGAGTTAATCCGCACAAAGTGCTGAGTGGAACGTCCGACACACACTTGGTGCTCAGGCAACGGCAGCTGCTGGTGTTACTAGGAAACAGAAACTGAGATGTGGAGACGGAGAAATATGAGATAAGAGGCAGAGGAGAGAGGGAATCGGGAACATTTAAAAATGACAGGAAAAGCAGAGAAACGTGAACGGTATGGGAAGATGGAGAAAAAAGAGGAAAGAACTACAAATGTAATGGTGCATGTGAGGCACTTGCTGGGCGAAGCCATTCGTTCAGCCTTACGGACCCTGCGAGATGGGTTTTATGATCGTTTTCTCTGAATGGAAAGTTAGGGAGCAGTAGAGAGGGGAGAGCGGGGAGAGCGGGAGGGAGGGAGGGAAACAGAGACAGAGACAGAAGGAAAGAGACGGGCGGGGAGGGGGAGAGGCAAAGCACAGAGACGGGAACAGGACCAGTGCCGACACCTCCAGCCCGCGCGGGGCTGCAGCGGGGCCTCACACCTGCGCTTCTCCCGCAGGATGCGCCCGGCTGCCTGGAATGAGTCGGGGGGCTGTGGGCCCCGCCCTCCCTGCGGCTCTTGCCTGTGGGCGGCGCTCCTGGTGGCCTGTCTGGCCACGGCGCTGGGCAGTGGCGCTCTGGTGGGGCTGATCGCCTTGGGCCGGCGGCTGCACCGGCCCATGTACCGCCTGCTCGCCCACCTGGCGCTGCTGGACACGGCGTACGTGAGCACCACGCTCCCGCAGGCTCTGGCGCACATGACGGCCCGCCGAGCCACCCTCTCCCCGGCGCGCTGCGGGGCGCAGCGCTACGTGGGCATCTCCCTGGGCAGCTGCGAGGCCCTGCTGCCGGCCGCCATGGCGCCGGACCGCTGCCTGGCCGTGCGCCAGCCCCTGCGCTAGGCGGCGCTCGTGGCGCCCCC